TATCGCAAATCTGATTTCCCTAATGAACACCTTTGTAAGCTTAAGTGACGTACAAGACATTCTCTTTCGAATTCAAGGCTTCCCCCACCTCCTCCGTATGTTATCGAACTAGCGTGAGGTTCGTATTGGAGAAATATATGTCGAACTCTTATTTCTTTGCAGGTTTGTGGACCGAGCCGCAGGCGAGATCCATAAACTTGCAAAAAAAAAAGAAAAACAAGATCCAATATTTCCCAATACGGACCGAACAAGCAATAAAGTACTTTATAATCTGCTGATAAATTGATGCGTCCCTATAATCCATTTTCGGTACTTAACCAAAACTGTGCAGTTTGCGCAATGAATGCAAAGAGCAATGCGGCGAAATTAATTCGTGAGCGGTCCATCCCAGTGGTGTGTATTGCAAAATTCGGACCGCTAAGGGAACCAATCAGAATTGTCCTTTTCATCTCAGACCAGTTCAGTCATATGGTAAATTTAACAAATTGTCGTCAGTGTTNCCCAGTGGTGTGTATTGCAAAATTCGGACCGCTAAGGGAACCAATCAGAATTGTCCTTTTCATCTCAGACAGGTTCAGTCATATGGTAACATTAACAATTGTCGTCAGTGTTTTATGCGTCTGTCCTCTTAGTGATGATAAATTGCGTCATAACATTGTCAAAGTGGCTGTGGAACCAGAAGCACAAAAAAACTGACGTCAATTTGTTTATATATATATATATACATAATAACAAGACCCCAAAATGGTCAAATGTTGGGAATAAATGAGGGGGAAAGACGCCGTAAACTTGTCGTAATCAAGGACAAGTGAATTTTATTCAAAATAACGCGAACATTGTCACTAGCATTTCGCTTTTTGATTTGCTGCTTAAGAAAGTCTATAAAATCTCATTGGTTAAAAAGTTGGCAGTTTGACAGTTGAAAGTTGAACTTGACAGCTTCCATGAATTAAAATTTTATCCGTCTGTATTCTCATTGACGATAAAAATTAGCCAATCTGCGGCGAGAAATTAGACAGTTACTGTAAAAATACTTATGGCATTACTATTCAGGTATAGATGTAGCGTTTCACATAACATTTCGTTTTTACGTCATCATTACGTTACACAGACTTATGACGACAAAAAAAAGCAAAACAGCCGACATGAGTAGGATTTGTACTTCAATTGTGATCACGCAAAGCATATTAGTTGAAACCTACAGAATCGAACACGTGGTTTCTTGAGGAATTTTGTTATAAAAAACCACCGAAGCTACATATTTTCTCTAACCTCCAACTATTGCCGGTTGAAGTGGACTGGGCATAGCTCTGACGATTTGGCCGGCGGAGCTCTGGACAGTAGGATCGTAGTTCATACTTGCTGTCACGTTAAACGTGAAGTTGAGGTCAGCAGTTAGTACCCCTCGATCTACTCTGAGGGTGGCCTGGTGTTTAGTGGCCTGAAACGAGGCACTGGACTCCACTTTTAGTAGGGCGCTTGCATCACGGCATGTAACAGCCCATGAAAAGTCCACTCGAGTATCGTTTACACAAGGAGCAACCTATGAAGAAAAAGAAAGGCAGTTTTCAAAAAATATAACCATGTTACTTCTCCTTTGTCAGCTATTTACTATTCATGTTGGAAGATTTATCTTTTTCATGACCATCACGATGACGGCTTAGACACTCGGTTAAATTTCCAATACATTTTTAACAGGAAAGACAATTAATTCTATTTTATAAGAGCTGTCAAAAGCTGGGCTTTAATGAGTCCTTTGAAAAAAGTTGTAAGGGTTAAAGAAAATCACTTCAAAGCACCGCTTTTGGAATTCGATGGAACGACAGAGAAACTTGGTTTCTAGACTCCATCGCTGTTGTCCAAATTTAGCACCTTGAAGGTAGCGTAAAGGTCTCTGCAAAGATGAAGTGAACCTATATTCGCCTTAGAATTCGTATTGTATCTAATCTATCATCAGTTGACCTAAGAAAATACGAAACTAATGGACCACAAGGCAGGAGTGTCTTACTTACAATCGCCGCTGCTTTGATTGAGAGGTAATTTTTAAAGGCGCAGGAGAGTGGTAAAGAGGGAAGAGCAGGTCTAGCTCGTATCCAACAAATTCCAAAATTTTGCCATTTGAAGTATCGAGTAAACACAGAAATGAGCTCATGAAAACAAGGTGTAAAATCATACATACAAACATACGAAAGGAGGAAGAGGGGGAGACAAAAAGGACGAGAAAAGTGGAAGGAGAAGGCAAAAAAGAAGATGCGAAAGAGAAGTACGATGAACAGGAAAGAAGGATCATAGGGGGGAATGTGGGATATAAAACATGAAAAGACATCGAGTGCTAGCGGAACTGAATTTATGGCCACCATAATTAAACTAGTGCTGTTGTACTTACAATTGCACTTGCTTTGATTGACAGGTCCTCCGAGACAAAGACTTCTCCCTCAGTAAGTTCAATACCTGAACTGAGCGTCAAGGCAGGGACTGGCTCAGTAGCTTTTCTAATCACATGGGTAACTTCTTCAAAGCTTGATGGATACAGAAAGTTGGCCACCTTAAGCTTAAACTCGTAGGCTCTGTCGGTCTCAAACATTGTCCCGGGCAACTTAACACGATCGGCATCTGATCTAAGCTCGTTGAGGACGTTTGTAATGTCTGTGAAATCTTGCCCACTGTTAGGTGATGTCAATTTCCATTCATAAGTAAGTGGGCGACTGCCACCTCCAACAGACTGGGAGCCAGAAAGAGTAAGATTTCCACATGAAGCAAGAGCGTGAGGACCTGCAAAGACAAATCTCAGTAGTTAGTATTTTGCGGCAGACGCAAAAGCAAGATTTTATCCGAATGGTACCATTCAGCTTGTTCTAAAGCGTTAATTCTTTCGCCTTTAACTTCTATGCTGCTAACCTGTGATTACAGGCGTTGGTCTCAAGGGACTATCTGGTGAGTCGACTGAAAATGAGCCACTGAGGAACCTGCTGTACTGTTCATCGCGGGCCTTGAGCACGTTATCGTTAAACACCAAGTTGTCACCAACCGTAATGTTAGCCCCAACACCCGGGATTATTTGCAATTCTTGAGAATGGCTCAAGATACAGTCAGGGTAACTCCCTAACATAGCAACTGTTTCACTGGCAAATAGCTCATGGCATGTTTGATCCGCATTTACAATCTCCGCCTCCTTATCAAAGCGAATCAAGATTTTCACGGCTGTATCACTGAACTTTACTTTGATAACGTC